AACCAATAAAAACTTTCTATCTATCTGCATGTATATCTGTCTGCCTGTCTGTCTATCTATCTAGCCGCGAAAGTGTCCATGCTCTCGCAGTTGTTTTCTTGACTTGGTAAAACTAAAATGCTCATCTGAGACTTCCATGTAGGGCGAGCCTAAATAATCACAAGTATACACCCCACGTGATAGGTCATCCGGTGGTCTCGGATTGTGAAATGACAACACAAAACAAAACCTATTAACAGATTGATTGATGAGTCGTATGTGAGGGTTAACGTCCAAAAACCACCATATGAATATGAAAGACGCCGAAGTGGAAGGCTCCGGAATTTATGACCACCTGGGGTTCTTGAACGTGCACCCAAATCTGAGCACACGGGCCTACAGCATTCCCGCCTCTATCGGAAACGCAGCTGTCACAGCCGGGATTCGATCCAGCGACCTGCGGTTCAGCAGCCGAGTACCTTAGCCACTAGACCACCGCGGTGGGGCAACCTGTTAGCAGCGCAAACACAATTTGAAACCGAGACATTATGAGAGAAGGCTATGAAACACCTCGAAATTCTCTAAATTACTTTCTCCTAACCATTTTATAAGGCATTAGGTATACAGCTGATATTTGATCCCTAATATTCGTTTCTTGGCCACTTCCGCAGAGTGGGTGTGAGCCATTTATATAGGCCATCATTATCATCATCATTATCAAAATCATCATCATCATCATCATCATCATCTCACGTGCTCGTCTGCTGTTTGTGTGTGAGTATGTGTATGTGTGTGCGTGTGTGCGTGTGTGTGTGTCAGTGTGATTTGCCTGCGGCTCTTTTAACGACACGCTCTCAGCTGCTAAAATATCTTCTAATCTCGACGACAACAGGTGTATACCAGGTGAGATGATTACAGAACGTGACGAAAGTATGCTTCATAAATTTCAATAAATAATGAAAACACACATCAAGTTTCCTAATGATGATACCGCTTCGACAGGGACGTATGTCGACAACAGTTAAATCGTTAGCACACTAATAAATTGCCCGAATGTGTTCGGTAACAATTCGGACGTAACAGTTCCCGATGCTCAATTACTCAACCGGCAGTTGCAAAAAGCTGCATTGTCATGAAGGAGAGCGTAGCGTATGGCCACCTACGCGAACGGAAGTCTACTCTTTAGAACAGCCAAGAATAAACATCATTGTTTCGCGTAATAGAATAGACATCGTCCAGTAAATCACTAAAATTTATTCCTAACTAATAAACATGCCAACTTGCTAGGTTTTTATCGTGATAACCTTTCTCGTAAAAAGCACATGGTTCCTGCGTTTCTGAAGAGCACAAGTCGAGTGAATTTTCTGTCATTCTGGAAATATCCTACGTGGGCTCAGCAGATTACGTTCATGACATACCCTGCTTTAATCTTGAGATGGTACAATGACTCTGAACAAAATTCATAAGCAGGGCAGCACCGTCATTCTTTATGTATAGAGACAGAACGATGTATTCACCTTTATTAACTTAGGTGACGAGCCTCAGGTGAGGCATTCTTTAAAAAGCAAGCTTTACAATGGACTGGCAGATATCCAGAAGTAAACAACTTGTTTGATTGATTGATTGATTGATTGATTGATTGATTGATTGATTGATTGATTGATTGATTGATTGATTGATTGATTGATTGATATGTGAAGTTTAACGTACCAAAACCACCATATGACTATGAAAGACACCGTAGTGGAGGGCTCCAGAAATTTTGACAACCTGGGGTTCTTTCACATGCACTTATATCTGAGCACACGGGCCTACAGAATTTCCGCCTCCATCGGAAATGCAGCCGCCGCAGAGAAGTAACCAACTCATGCATTGCATCACTTGCCAGTTTGCGACAGTGCTACGAGAATCCGTTGTCCCCCTTGCTAGCGACCACGACACGTGTTTGGCACTATCATTTTACCCTAAAGCTGACACTCTAAGGCAAAATTACCCGAAAAAGGAGTAACGGAGCCCAATAGGCGCGCACGATGAACGGATAGACTGTTGAGGAGCAACCACAGAGGGAAGCGTGCCGCGTGAAACCACACGCGCCAAAAGGATGAACCGCCCGCACATTGCTGGCAGCGCGAAAAGCGTGGCCAAGGTGCCCAGCCCTCCAGGCACTGTGCCGTGCTCCCGATAGGGTTGCAGAAATTATGTGTCTTTTCTCATCTTCTAACCACTTTCACCACCACCACCCAGCCCTCCTCATAACTACTCCTCCTCTGCTGGCTCAGTCTTTCCCCGTATTTTGCCGGCGACGGTTGGCGTATTGCGCCGCGCTCGGAGTGCTTGACCACGGCCGCCTGGTTTTGAGGATCTAAGAATTACGACGTGGTGCTTGTGCGTACGCTTGGATGAGCGTGGGCTGCTGCTATTTCGTTTCGCTGCACCCATAAAGTCTGGAGCAAGTCTCGACACGTCACCACGCCGCGCTGTATATCTCTGGCTTCAAGATAGTCACAACCAACGCACGGCAGCAACAGTTGGGAAGGCCAATATGGCGGCCGAGAAGGCAGCAGGCCTATCGGATATATACTTCAGTCCGACTCAGGGCAGAAAACAGCGCTGGATTCTAAGGCAAGTAGGTTATCATTCGTTATTCTGCTCTATTTGTCGCGTGTGCGATACGATCGCGCTTGCCGGCAACGGGCTCGGTGGTGTTGTATATCGCACGCACGAAATGCATCGCGAAGGTCAGCTTCGGCGTATGCACTTTGCCTGTGCTTTGCGACTGCCTGTAAATTGGCCGCCATTGCCGAAGGCCTCCCGTACGCTCGCTTATCGAGTGCTCGCCTGTCTTCGCCGCCGCGATGAGTTCCGGGCTGACGATATTGGGCTGAGACCTCGTCGCTGTGTTGGGAGTCGTCGAAAATACGTTGCGGGTTCTCGTAAAGAGCTTGGTTGTAGTGTGTCGCGCGCTGTAAGTGCCCCAGCACGGGCTGGCGGGAATTTCGCTAGCGTCGGAACTCACTGAAAATCGGTCGCCATTACAGTCGGTCGCAAGCAGCTCTGCGCCGTCCACTGGTAGCGGTGGCGGACTCGCGTTTGCGCGCTACACTCGCTCGAGTTTGTGGAAAAGGGCCGCATTATCGTCGATTTCTTCGGCGCTAGCTCCAAACCAGCTCGGCGCTGTTCGTGGCGGTGGCCAAGCGTACGCTCGCTCTCCTGTTCGAAATTCTCTTGCAGCAGACACTGCGCGTGCAGCGCCATGTTTGGTCTCGCGTTCGCTTGCTCGAGCTGAACGACGTCGCTCGCTTAAGACTCACCGACTTGTTAGCGCCACGGAGGTTCGCGGAGTTATGGCTGCAGCCGCCGCTCTTTAGCTGTTGCGCTACGGAAGTCGAAATGATTCTTTGACGATGTGTGACATCACTATGAAATTATTAGCATGTCATATCGCACGTACGTGTTCATTTCACTTTGCACGTATTTCTCATATGCATTTGTAATCATCCTCTGTCACGTGTGACTTACTATTTTACGTACCTATTGTGCAGTCGTCAGCACACACCGTGCTGAAGACTGTGTGCGCTGGCAATCTGGGATGCCTGACATCCATATCTTTCGTCAGAGCAGCTTCAGATGGACTGTGCGACGTGTGGAGGTAAAGTTATTTGTGTGTCATATTTTAACGCTTGTTTTTATATTAACGTGCACGTACTTGTCTTGCGTGCATCTTCATCTTCTGTCTTGTGTGTCTAACTATTTTTGCTATCTTATTGTTTGTACAGCCGTGGGAACACAACAGGCTGCGTGCGCTGACATCTTCAATGCCTGTCATCTATTGCTTTCGTCGGAGGAGCTACCCAAGGAGTGAACATGATTTGACAACGAGACTGGACTTGTACACTTCACCATGAATTCACTTAAAGTAATCGAGAAACTTTATGTGCATGTAGAAAATTAAAATATTTCGATGTCTCACTTTTATCTTTCATTGTTGCTGTGACAGCGAACGCACTCACACAAAGGTGGTAACTACTTTTTCACGTGTTCTTTTCTGCGCAAGTTGTTGCTCACTGCGCAGAAAAACAGGCGAAAAAAGTATTAGGCCTGGCGGAAAATAAATAAACAATGCTTGAACTGGGGACAAAAAGTTCATCCGACTAAAGTATTTGAGTGGATCAACCGTTCGTCCGGCAAGGTGCAACTGTGAGGACTAACGATTGGCCGGTAAGGTGTAAATGTAGGGATTAATAGTTGCTATATAAGGTGCAAATGTGAGGAATAAATGTTAGTCCTTTGAGGTAGATTGTGAGACTAACGGTTACTCACTAAGGTGTAAAATTGAGGACTAAATATTAGTCCCTTGAGTTCGTCTGTGGGGACTAACTGGTAGACCCGGTGCCGTTAGTCCTTAAAGGAATTAATGGTTGTGGCAGCCCCATTAGTCCCCAAAAGGACGAACCATACACCCGTTTGCCTTAGAGTGCACGCCTATCCGTTCGACACACCTGACAGCTTCTTGTGCATTAAACAGTTGGTAGTTGGCGCTGTTCTGTCTTCTCTCCTGCTCTTCCTGCTTCACGATATGTTTTTGCGCCTCAGTCTTCTCCACCAAGTATGCACCAACTAGCCCAAAAACAAGTCCTTGTGCAATACGACTTCTGAAGAGCACTGCAATTCCTTTTAATCCTTGGGTTGACCTCATTGGATATTATAACAAACCATGGGCACGTGGCAGTTTCTGTCTGTCTGTCTGTCTGTCTGTCTGTCTGTCTGTCTGTCTGTCTGTCTGTCTGTCCGTCTGTCTGTCTGTCTCTCTGTCTGTCTGTACCACCATCTTACCTGCCGCCCTACATTCAAGGCATCACGAACAAATTAGAGGCGTTATGGCCACATATTACAATTTTACAGCACGAATAACGCATAAAGGCATCCGTTCAGTTGAAACGATAGAATGAGCATTGCTTTTTCGAAGGCAATTCTCATAGGGATAACCATGTATTGAAATCGCATGCTGATTTGAGGTCACTATACCACTCTGAAAATTTTTTGACCAAGGTATCATATTTTCAAGGTATTTTGCTCTAAAATGAATGCTCTCGGCTCTCATTAATGGGGAGCTTCAAAGCAGTGCTAGTACACTTTATTAGGTACATTACTGCTGTAGAAAGAACACAGCATGACCGCTTTAAATTACCTCCAAGAGCTTCTCGGCTGTAACTAGCATGCTCGCACCCACTTGCAGCACTCTGGATAAGTTCCACTGTGACGTTCACGCTCGCAACCATCCTCTCTTTCTGGCTTTGTGGTGTTGCAGCTGGAGGGGAAAAGGTCACCTTAAATACATGTTCACGCTCACGTGGAGAACACAATACGTCTAAAATTATCTACGAAGTACAAGTGGACAAACATCTCAAGCACAAGTTTACAATGAGCCGCAGATCTCAGAAGTATTAATTTATCCACAAAACTGAAGATGTCTAAAACGAATATAGCGTTAACATTGCAGGTGAAAAAAATGGCAAACAAGAACTATGGGAACGCTTCTTATGAAAATGTACCTTCGTGCTTCATAGACCCTTGAACTAATGAACTGCTGACTTACGAACAGGGCCCTTACACACAAACCTTGCTAACTTGTGGAGCGCGCTGTAACCACCATTAAAATTATGGTACGACAAAACAATGTACTTGAAGCACAGTCTGGGATCACTCCGAATAAACCGTGGCATCGACATTCTAGTAACCGCCTACACACTGATATTGTGGAAATCCAAATGAACTGAGATAACTAGTGTTTGTCAAAACGTTCACTACATCAGTCTTTGGCAATGTCTGGTACTATCTGCCAACTTACCAACTTAGTATTTTGCCAACATGAAAGTGGCCGCTTAGAGTAACTGCATGAAGGAAACTAGTAATACAAGGGTTGTAACTTTACCATGGCATTCACTAGGTTGTTAGCACGCTTAGTAACAATAGAATTACAATTATGCAGCTGCAAGCTTGCATGTATTTCGCTTAAGTGTGCAGTTCACTGCTTAAGATTGACTCAAAGATTCATATTAACATCCAGCTCGTCTTTTATTATCTTCACCACAAATCTTACTCTCTCCATCTTGTGCCCTATTTACTACACCGTATCTACCAACGATTTCACCATCCCCGTAACCAGAATTTTCAATACAGTAGTTGAAGAGGTTGGTAGCATATTGCTGGTGTCCTAACAGCTGAGTATTAGTGCTACCATGACTCATTCCGGAATACAGTTTCTGGAGGCCACCCTCGTGTCGAGTTTGGCTGATAACTAATGCGGCACCTATGACCTACGAATATGATATCACTCATGTGATGATACTGCACCAATAACCCATTTGTTTTGATGGCCTCGAAATATTCATTATAACACCCCCCCCCCACTGCTTCTGCGTCATTGTTAAATTGAGTTTCTTAAGTCTCTAAATAAAAGTACTTCCGTCAGGTGTTGAATAATGATCTATTTTAAAGCCTCCTGGAGGTTAATTCCTGCTTGTTTCGTTACAGAGTGTTGTTTTATTTTCTATGGCCTAATTTCAATTAGCCAAACACACTGCAAGCAATATGCACGCCACCTCTGCACTTGCACCCCTCCCTTTTTTAACGGGCGCAGTAAAAGTCAGATGGGTGATATCTTAGAAAATCCCAAACGGAGAGCCTCGGTAATAGAATGCGTCAAAAATGACTGCGGTGCTCATTGCTGACGAAAAACAACGTCTTGTACACACAATGAAACAAAGCAGCACGGGGTCTTTTTATTGTATATATAAATACTAAAATAAAGATAGTGAGAAAAATTTTCAAGTAAAAAATACTGTCTTACTCTATAAGTGTCAAAGTACCATTGGTGCAATTCAGACCTACGCATGGGGTTTCCAAACCATGGGTCTGTCCATCGACTATTTTCGTCCAATTAAACCAGCACTCTCGTCCAGCAGCAGTACTGTTTTGTACTAAAAATAAAGAACATTTATGTAGTCAAAACCATTTTGTGCCACAATAAATTTGATAAACTTTATAATACGACGAAAGCTTCGCAAGCAGCAGATGACAAATGTGGAACGAGAAAAAAAGGTCGATAATACTAGATATAACAAATGAAGGCAGCTTCCCACTAGTGGTTCCCAGCTTGATAAAGGACGTGGCTGGGCGGCTTTCTTCGCTTTTGTTTTTTATCTTTTTTCCACAATTATGGTCTTTTTTTCCTCAGCTCACTATTTTCGGTATGTCTATTTCTTTTCTCGGTTCTTTTTGATGTGTCGCTTTCTCCCTTTGCATGTTGCTTTCTTTACCACACATCAGTTATATAATTATCAACAGCAGAGCTTTTTGAGCTAGCCGTAGCTTATGTCTGTGGCCTATTATAAAATATTGATCACCACAAACTTAAACTGCTGTGTGCCACAAGTTTGGTGAAAGCTTCACTATTTATGACTGATGTCATGACTATTCGTGACGGAGCAGGAGAACCTGAGTACTTACATTGATAGAATTCTAAGGAATGGGAAAGGTAACTACAACAGCGGGAAACGCCGAAGCGATCGAAGGCTTTGGCGAACGACGACGTGACCGCAGATCTATGAGAGGTGTGACCGCTTGGTATCAGCTGAGATTTCCGACTACGTTGTTTCGACATGTGTGTCCGGTGTGTGTCTATCTGTGCTCTAAATCTAACTTCTCTTCGCAAGCTACAAACGCAGAAACAAGTTAGCATGACCTCGTTATAAACTCGCAATGACCTAGAAACAAACTTGACCCAACCTGCTTCACCTACTTAGCACTAGGCACGACCTTGAGGCCATGAGATTATTCTTCATAATCGTGAATTTCTGCTGCTTCAAGCCTTGTGCGGCTCGTAGCGAGCTTCGCTTTTTTTCTCCCTCTGCTTTTTTCCCCTGTCTCTGTATAATGAGCCCCGCCGCGGTGGTCTAGTGGCTAAGGTACTCGACTGCTGACCCGCAGGTCGCGGGTTCAAATCCCGGCTGCGGCGGCTGCATTTCCGATGGAGGCGGAAATGTTGTAGGCCCGTGTGCTCAGATTTGGGTGCACGTTAAAGAACCCCAGGTGGTCGAAATTTCCGGAGCCCTCCACTGCGGCGTCTCTCATAATCATATGGTGGTTTTGGGACGTTAAAACCCACATATCACTCTCTGTATAATGATCATTTCCTTATCCTTACCCTTTTTCATGCCTACAGACTTCATGCTGTTTCTTTGAATAAATTTCTTCAGCAAATCATCATCATCATTTATTTTACCCTTAAGGGCCTCTCTCGGGGCATTACATAAGGGTACGGAACAATCCAAGTACAAATTTCAATGAAAATGCAGTTCATGGTTACAGTTTTTGAATTACTAAAACATACAGGTAGCAACAAAAAAACTAAAAGAAAACAGAGCATGTCAAACGAAATATTCAACAGTCAATTCGCGGTCAAAAATAGACAGGCGGCAGAGAACAAACAACGAAGAAAGACAAACAGCGATTAAGAGTCAAGGGTAGCTAGTAATAAATCTCTAAATTTAACAGCAACTTGTTCGCTGACAATAGCATCCGTCAAACCGTTCCACTCATCGATATCTGTAGGAAGAAATGATTTATTAAAAGCGTTAGTAGAACCAAAGAGACGTTGGATACTCAGGGAATCAAATAGGTGACGGGATGTTCGGACAGGCGGAAGTTAAAGTGATCCATGTAGGTGAGGAAAGCTGTAGTAACGTTTATGAAAAAGACAGAGACGTGAAATTTTGCTGACAAATATATATATATATATATATATATATATATATATTTATTTATATATACTATATATGTGTATATATATATATATATATATATATATATATATATATATATATATATATATATATATATATATATATATATATATATATATATATATATATATATATATATATATATATATTAGGGCGTTTATTAGCCGGCACACAGCGAGAACATGGCGACAGTAACAGCCAAGCATGGACTCTCCCCGCGAGCGGCGTCTTTTTTTTTTTGGGTAGACCCACTAGAAAGCACTTGAAAGTTCGACCCATTTGAGTGTTCGGAGGCTTCTCTACAATTAACCCGGGGTCGAAGAGGGAGCCGTCTGGTGACCTAACAGCTTCTCACTATGAGCGGGTTATAGTAAGCTTTCAGGCGCTTCACGTTATCTATGTCGTGCCTGCGACGACGCATGTCCGCAGATTCTTCAATTGGTTTGATCAGATAGTTGACCGGAGAGGTGCGCTCGATCACACGGTAGGGACCTTCGTATTTCGGTAGTAGTTTGGAAGAAAGGCTAGCCACAGAGGTCGAGATTGAGAGCCATACAAGGGAACCAGGAAGAAACGTGGGCCCTGAAGTGGCGGAGCCATCACGAATACTCTTCTGCCGCTCTTGCTCATGCGTCGTAAAAGTCTTGGCAACCTCGTGACACTCTTCAGCAAGCCTGGCTGTCTCAAAAATAGGTGCACACTCAGATGAATCCGGCGTGTACGGGAGTATCGTGTTGATGGTGTGTGGCGGGTGCCTTCTCTACAGCAAGAAGAAAGGTGGAAAACCGGTCGTGCTCTGAAGGGAAGTGTTGTAGGCGTGGATGACGAAGGGCAGTATTATATCCCAATTTTTGTGGTTGGCAGCGACGTACATCGAAAGCATGTCGCCGAGGGTGCAGGGTGCAGTTAAAGCGTTCGGTGAGACCATTCGTCTACGGGTGGTAAGCAGTAGTTTGGCGGTGGAAAGAATGGCACTCAGTGAGAATGGCTTCGATGACTTCTGACAAGAAGACATGGCCTCGATCGCTGAGAAGCTCCTGGGGTGGACCGGGGTGCAGTATGAATCAATGATGTAGGAAGGACGCAACATCACACGCAGTAGCCGCAGGGATAGCGGCGGTTTCGGCGTATCACGTTAAATTATCTACGGCGACGATGGCCCAGCGGTTACCAGCTGACGTCAGAGGAAGTGGTCCACACAAATCGATACCTATGCGCCAAAACGGACGGTCAGGGCAAGGTAATGGTTGCAGACTGGCTGGCGACATGTGTTCTGACGATTTGCGGTGTTGGCAAGCGAGGCAGGAGCGAACGAACTGCTGCACGTAGCAGCACATTCCGCGCCAGAAGTAGCGTTGTCGAATGTGATGGTAGGTTTTGAATACCCCAAAGTGCGCACATTGCGGATCAGAATGGAAGGATTCACATATCTCTGACCAAAGAGTGCGGGGTATCACGAGTAACCACTGCCAGCCATCGGCGTCGTAATTGCGTCGGTGTAGGAGGCCATCACGAATGGCGAAATGGTGAGCTCGACGACACGAGGCACGCGTGGATGGCGTTGCGGACGGATCAGAGAGCAAGTCGATAAGCGGGGCGATCCAATTATCCTTTCGCTGTTCGGTAGCGATGATGTCAACATCAATGACAGAAATAGCAACCGAGGGTACTGAGCAGAGCACACCACCTTCAGGCAGAGGGGAGTGTGAGAGGGCGTCGGCGTCAGCATGCTGGCGTCCGTTGCGGTACAGCACGCTGATGTAGTCTTGTAAGCGAAGAGCCCAACGGGCGAGACACCCTGAGGGATCCTTCAATGATGACAGTCAGCACAGTGCATGATGGTCGGTGACGACATCGAATGGACGACCATACAAATAAGGTCGAAACTTTGTAAGGGCCCAGACGATTGCCAGGCACTCTTTCTCCGTGACGGTGTAGTTTGTCTCGGCTCTCATAAGCCTACGGCTTCCGTATGCTACGACGTATTCAAGGAATCTGAAATTGCACTGTGCCAGGACTGCACCAAGGTCTACACCACTGGCGTCCGTGTGTACCTTCGTTGGGGCCGTAGGGTCGTAGCGGCGTAAAATGGGAGGAGACGTCAACAAATGGCAAAGCTTCGCGAAGGCCTCGCCGCACTCGGACGACCACGAATTGAGAGGCCCGTTGCTTCCAAGGAGCTTCGTCAGCGGTGATATGATCGTGGCAAAGTTTTGTATGAAGCATCGGAAGTATTAGCACAGGCCCACAAAACTCCGCAGTTTTTTGACGGACGCAAATTTGGGGAATTCGGCCATGGCCCGAAGCTTGGCTGGGTCAGGAAGAATGCCATCCTTTGACACGACGTACCCTAGGATGGTGAGTTGCCGTGCTGCAAAGCGGCACTTCTTCAGATTTAGTTGCAAGCCGGCATGGCTCGCATGTGCAAACACTTCTTTCAGGCGTTGGAGATGCGTGGAGAAATCTGGAGCGAAGACAACAACGTCATCGAGGTAACACAAGCACGTGTGCCATTTCAAGTTGCTTAGAACGGTGTCCATCATGCGCTCAAAGGTCGCAGGTGCATCACACAGACCAAACGGCATGACGTTTAATTCGTACAAGCCATCAGGTGTGATAAAGGCAGTCTTCGGTCGAGCGTCATCAGCCATGGGTACTTGCCAGTACCGCGAGCGCCGATCGAGAGAAGAAAAAAATTCGGCTCCGTGAAGGCTGTCAATTGCGTCATCAATACGCGGCAGGGGGTAAACAACCTTGTGAGTGATCTTATTGAGCCGTCTGTAGTCCTCACAGAACCGCACAGAACCATCCTTCTTCGCAACATTAACAACAGGAGACGCCAATGAACTGTCCGAGGGCCGAATCACGTCGCGTTGGAGCATATCGTCAACCTGCTCGTTAATTTCCCGACGTTCAGCAGGCGACACGCGGTATGGACGTTGCCGTAATGGTGGATGGGCACCAGTGTCGATACAATGCGTAACAGTGGACGCGCGACTGAGAGAACTTCGCCCGACATCGAAAGAAGAACGGCATTCTTGCAACAGGTCCAGAAGCTGGGGACGCTGTACCGACGTAAGTTTGTCATCAATGAATGGGCCAAATACATCAGGAGATAATGAATCAGAAGTGTAAACAGCGCTGATGGTACGCGAATTGGGACAACGCGAGTCATC